TTTAGGCATAACTTTTCAAAATGTGAAAACCGTGACTGAGCTCCTTTAAAGCATCCAATCCTTTTTCTTTGCTAAAACGATTCTCTCACGTCGGAAAACTTCCAATTCGAAATCGCCCTATAATGCATTGCAAACCTTGAGCATTCAGTAGGTCATGTATGCCTACGGAGGGTACGTAATTTACGTTTAGGTTTTTGTATGCTCATTTTTCAGATTAAAAGAATTATTCAAAGTGAAAAATGGTTTGACTACGTCGTTACATTATTTTTTTTGAAAATGCCAAAAATTTGGGTCGGTGAGAAGAAAAGTGGATGACCTTAGTCGCCAAATGGCGACTTCAGGATTTTTTTTAATTTCGAGCCCTGCTTTAACTAATGTGATGATTTTATCGCTTTATTCTCACTCCTTGAAGATGATAATCCTAAGCTTTAATTTAATCTTATAAATGACAAATGTGAGATTTGGAAACGCTTTAAATGATTTTTTACATTTCTAACTCAGACAAACGTGTTACAAAGATTTATTTAATTTTCATGTTGCTCTGTAAAGTAAGACAAAGCGGTGGTCAATTTAAATCTCTGCTTCCTTGACTAGTTTTCATTAAATTAACGCCACCTAAGAAAATCGATGAAGTTTTACCACTGATAGATCATTATCTAACTCTGAATGCTGAAAATGGCATTCCCTAGCTTCTATATTGTAGATTTCTAAATTTTCTGGGGGAGGGGTGCATGCCACCAGACCCCCTATAGGATGAGGGGCCTTGCGGCCCCTAACTTGTCACAGCCGCCTACTCTTCCCACTGCAGACGCCTACTTCAAAACATTTTTAAACCCCTGCGGAGGGAGATTAAAGGAGTAGGAAAACCACAAAATTAAATCTATGTAATATATAGTTTTTTCCCTGGAATTGCAAAAAATAATAACGAAATGCAGCTCCCGGTATTTCGGGAAATTAAGTGCGTGCAAAAATTAGTGAGAATAAGGTGTTATTTTCTTAGTGTAACATCTAACGCAAGCAAGTTAATTAATCAACTGATAATTTAATTTTGAGTTATCATGTTCATCTTCATCATCGATCGTTAGCAATAATTTATTGCATTATACCACTTACCAAGGGTAAACAAATGTTTTATTTATTTAGTTATGATCCTCAGCTAAAACCCTTCATCAAAGGGTACTATTAACAGTCACTTACGTTTCTGGATATTATTTTACATTAGTTTTTAGAGGTAACCAGTACACATGAAATCATTTATGAATGACTTATTCCACCAAATTTTAACTAGCTAGCAATGCCTGCATTTACCATTGATAAGGCCCGGTTCAGACGCCGTACTTCACGTTAGTCGAATCGAACTCAATGAATTAAGTTTATGTGAAGCATGGCGCCTGAATCAATTCGAAACGGCCGGATTGAATTCGGATCGGCTCAGCTGTTCTTCACGCCTGGCTCAGCCGGAAATAACGGCTGTGGACCGGCTTTGATTTAGACCCCGATCTTCACGAGCCGAACCACATACATAAATTAAATTTAATGTATTTTTAATGTATTTGAAGACCTGAGTAGGCGCAGAAGTATAAATTGTGCGTCAGGGCATCCAAATGGCGGTTTTCGCTCGTCAGGGAAGTGGACGATATTTGTACTTTATGTTTTCCTGTTCTCGTGTGTAAACTAGCCTGAATTTCAGCCGCCTCCTCCGCTCGCTAAGTCACTCGACTTAGCGAGCGGAGGAGGCGGCTGAAATTCAGGCTAGTGTGTAAAAGTGCCGCCACTTTGGTAAACAGCATCAAAATTGATGTGTATTCATTATAGTTTTCTTGCTTGTATTTGAATTACGTGTGAACATTGCATTTGTAAATTAACCTGAATATTGCAATTGGGCTTTTTGCCCAAGTTGTGTTGTATTTCATGGCATACAAAAAGTTGGAAGTTGAAATTGTATGTTGAAATTTAAAAGATCATGTGAAGTACGACATTTGAACCAATTTATCAGTTGTCTTCTTGCAGTTAGATGTAAATAGACTGATTACGGCGTATGAACAGGGCCTAAGAGTCACCACTCCCAGTATATCCACACGTTTACAAACAATAACCTGCTAGGTTGTTTCCTGAACAAATAAAATGTACCCAGCAGGTTATCATGTCAAGATAAGCTGCAAGCTGCAGTCTGTGTGACTGTGTTTCTAGTGCTTTAATATCTTCTCTCTTTAAAATCAGAAAAGTTCAATCAACTGCTCTTGGTCTGTGATTCACCCCCAAAACTGAAACTGAAAATTCTGGCTATTCGATTCACTTCTGCATCAGAGACTGGAGGTTTTTCATCCTTCCTTGCCTTGTAAACTGGCTGCCTTTTGGCAAATTTCTCAGTAAAGTTTTCTGTTGTTTGTTGATGAGTTTTCAAATGTTCTGAATGAGCTAAAAGTTTGGAATGTGAACTTTTGGTTGAAGAACCCAATCTAAGTGCCCTCATGTCCTCTTCTAGTTGCTCTGATGGGATGAAGAAATTTGGCAAAATAGCAGCGCTGGTCTGTTTAAATGAAGTATGATGGCTCGACAGTAAAGCCTGCTTTGGCCATCCCCTTGAATCTAAAGTGTTATATGAGCTATATTCATCTTCATAGTCACTTTCAGAAGTCATGACTGCAGTGGCAGAGTCAACAACAGTTGTCCCAATTCCAACATCATAGTCTTCCAAAGCCTGATCTCTATCCACATGACTCAGCATTACACAGTCCTCATCACCATTATCGTCATGATCACTGGCATGATAATCTATACCACGACAGTGAACATTAGTTGCATTTGCAGCATTATTCAGACATTCCATAGTGAATGCAGAAAGAGCACTTGTTAAGTCAGGCTTTTCAGACTGGCTACTTTCTGCATTATCTTCTTCTTCACTGCTAAGCCAGCTGTCTTTTAAATCAGCATACCTTGTGCTTTTTGTGTTATCCCTAACATATCCACTTACTGAAAGGTCTCCTGAAATATCGCTTACACTAAGCTCACTATCGACAGATGGCTGTTGTTCTTCAGCCAAAGTCCTTTGTTTCTCGCTACTGAAGCTACCGTCTTCTATTGGATCATGCTGCAGATCATCCTTCCCTTTAAAACGAAGAATGTTATTGGAATTAAAGGCCCCTGCTCCATTATCTAGCACAACATCAATAGTTCTTTTGGTGGTTTGGTTGTGGTCAACAGAGGCATGAGCTTGATCTGTTTCTAGAGATGAGATCAGAGGCAACAATTTGCTTCCATCATTAGAGATCAAACTATTTTCATCATGCCTAAGATCGCTTTCTTCAAAATTTGATTTAGGCAACTTGTGTTCCATATCATGGACTTCCACTGTTTCCAAAGTTTTTAAAGGCTTATTTCCTTCAGTTGCATCTGAACCAGCAAAATGACAATGTGGTGGGTCAATGACAGGACGCTGTTCTTGAATGTTTCCAGGGTCACTCCTTGAATTACTTGATAGTAATTTGACACTTAAACTTTGCCGAAGAGCATCTAGTTCCTTCATGTTATGCCTAAAAAAAAAGTATTGTGAGCAAGAAATTCATTGAGCCTGCTCCCCTCCTGCTTTTCCTTTCTAACCCTAATCCTGACACAAATTTAAACACAGTATTTGCATGCTTTGGGGTAAATATTGCTGGTACTTGTACTCGAAAGAAATCCAATCCAGCAAGTATGAAAAAAGCTGAGACCTACCATTCACTAGATTGCCTCAAGCCGCTGTATCTAACTATAAATCACAACACCCTTTGTGTGCCTCTAAAGACTGCTTGTGAAAGTGGTTGACAGTTGTTTTTCGAGAAAAATAGTAATTACACTTTCAAAGCTTGATTTTAAGCTTTCCTGATTTTGTGAAGGCCATTCCTTTCTTAGTCTAAAATTAATTTTCTTTGGCCTTATTTATTGCCAATATTGGACTTAAATTAATATAAACAAGGGCAATTAATCTGTGCAAGTATGCAGATAAATCATATAATAATAATAATATATTGGAGAAATTCCAGCAAAGTTCTGCTGCTGGCCTTCAGACTCACGCAATCCTCATACTTATTTGTGCGACTACTTGTCAAAAGGTTGAACTATGTCATGCCAGTCACGTAAAGAGCAATATACTTTAAGGTTCTCAAACTAATATCCACCTCTAGCAGCTTTTATTTCTCTGTCCTCAGCATCCACCAAAATAATGTCATGCTGACAATTTTGTCTGGCAAAGTGTTCAGCAGTATTGAGAGTATTTATTTTGATGATTCTAGAACCTTTGTAAAATTACATCGTATTAAGGAGCTTAAATGAAACTTCTCAAAGTTTAGGCAGCTGTTAATTTCATTGGTAAGTCCACTCAGATTCTGTATGAAAAAAAAACTAAAAGGAATAAATGGAAGCAAAATACAGAAAAAAAAGCAAAGTATTCAGTTCTTAATCAAAATGAAAACTATGCTGGCATGAAGCCTAAAACATGTGCTGTAGGGGTACGAAATGCCACTGGCATTTTAGTTCCTTTCTCCTTATCTCCAAAAATTGGCCATCAGCAGCAATGAGGAGTCACAAGAGGCATATGAACAGTTGTGTGTTTTATGAGGAAAAGTAGCGTCTGTCCTGTTATTGATCATGAATTTTGCCACAACATTGTCAAAGTAGCTGTGGATCCATGAGGCGATAGCCGAGTGGATCCGGAGACCACTCTGACAATGTTACGACGAAATTCACTGTCAATAACAGGACACACGCAAGAAAAACTGACGTCAATTTGTTTTTTACAATAACAAATCGTCAAATTGCCCGCTATCGCTTGTTGACGCATCCATTAATTATAAATTCATGTGTCTATCCGCTTATTGACAATGAAAATTAGCCAATGAGCGTGCAAGAATTTCTGCAGTTATCGTAAAATTTTATCTTTCTCCTTTTTTTTATTTTAACCCTTTGAATACCAAACTTTTGCCAAAAAATACCGTTTTTAACCGTTTAGTCAGGTTTTTTAGCTGCCATGACGCTAAATAAGCCTAAGTTTTGCTAAGAAAGCCTTTTTTTACTAAAAGGAGAGCTTTTTCGAGGATCAGGTATAAAACTGAGCAAAATTTCAATTCCGGGCATGCGCATAAGCCATTTGCCATTAACCGTTCTCAATTTTGTTTGATGCCCCTTTCCTTTCTGTTTTTCTCGGCCCTTTTACACTGGCTACCTTTTGCATTGTATGTTCTTTCTGGCTGCCGTGAAAAGTTGGATGTTAATTACAGGCGAAGCCTAGAAATGGACCTTGATCAATCATAGGCGTAGTGGACCATTTTATCACCGTTTTTGCACCAAAACTGATAACGCTGTTTTTCGATTTGCGACGTCGGAATGTCGTCGATATCTAAACCTGACCACTGTGCAGAAAGGCCTAGCCTAGTACTACTATCTGCTTATCAAGAATGTCTGATGACGTTTAAATTGATGACGTCACAAGTGGTACAAAGAGCACGACCATTAATTACGCATATATGCGTAGCTGTTATTCAAAGGGTTAATCTATTCCTTCCATTTTGGTTTTATTTTACAAGGCTCACATTGGTATCAGTTTTATAACTGAAGTGGGCACCCTGTATGAATATTTTCAATTATTTATTATGGTCAATTATTTACAAAGTCAAGACCTACCACAAAAATCTTCTCGAGGACAACTAACAAAGCAGGTTTATCTCCAAGGATCTTTCACAAACCTTAACTGGGAAAACAGAAGAGATGTGGAGCAAACTGGTGGTGCATCAATTTCTCTGTCTGCTTCTTGTCCAATACTGTCATACGAGCATGGCCGGAAACTAGTGAGATCTTCCTTGTGATCCTCTTCCAGCTGACTTGACAGAGGATGATTGATTTGGAATCTGTGATCAGAGTCATTGGTCCCATGGCTGATTTGGAAAGAGGTCATAAAGGCAGCCTATAATGAGGATATTAATAACAAAGTTTAGCAAATATCCATTATGTCGTAGGAAAACTATTTATGTTGGATATTCAATCCGAAGCATAACTGGACTTTCCTGATCTGAGCAACAAGAATTCTACCTCAAATAACTTTGAACCACTTTCTCTTTTAAGATTCAGGCCTCAATCCCAGACAAAAAAAGTTGGGTCAAAAAGCAAGTTCTCCCCTCCCCCCACTTACAATGTTGATAATCAGGTGATTTTTCCCTTTTTGATGAAAAAAAACAAAAAAAAACGAAAAAAACCGCGACATTGATTAGGGGGGATGGGGGATACGTGATCTAGCTCAACTGTCCCAGCTACTTTAGTCTGGGATTGTCTGAAAGAGATATGCGAAGACTTTTCCAATGCAGGTAACGCGAACGATTGTCGTGACGTCACAGTATTTTAGAATTTGATTTCGGGTCAATGACGTACACTTTGTTTCTGGAAATTGGGCAGAATTTTCCTACGTTAATCTAGATTAAGGCTCGGTGTAGATATTCGTGGAATATAACTCGTAACCGCCTGTAATAGAACGAAATTTGTGATCTGCTTCAAGCAAAATGGCGTTTTAGGAAAGGTTTGAGCTCGTGTCTATTATTTAAGATATTTTCTAGGATTATTAATTCGCAAAGTAGCAGATCTTTGTGTTGTTTCACGGAATAGTGTTAAATAAATTGACTGAAACCCACTGATATGCCTATACGTGTACAGTTAAATCATGATTATACGCGACACGACAACTTTCGGGTGCCATGTATGTAATTAACGCGCACGAATAACCACAACGGTTAACCACTTGAAAATCAACGTTTTGCAACCTAACCTTCGCTGTTCTTCCCAATTGGCAGAAGGTACAAAAATTTCTCACTTCACGTTATTTGAAATGCAAGATGGAAGCAATTTCTTTTGGTGGTAAAATAGTAGAGTTGGACACTTGAAATAAGGTTAACCGTTTGCCGAAGACAATAAGTTAACTACGTTTCTATTTCAATTGAACGGTTAACCATATAAACCTTCTCGCAAAGCTCTGTTTTGCTAGTTCTTGATCCCAGACAATGTTAAATAGTTTTTGCAATTCCTATAGAGCGGAAAAAGGTATAATTCGAATGACATGGAGCAGTTTGGAAACAAAATGTTTTACCACGAGGGTTAATCGCGGCAGTCAACCCGATGACACTTCTGAAGTCGAGAACGCACCTTGCTTTATGCGCGTTCCGGTACTAGAGGAGAAAACAAAGAGAGACATGCATAATCAAATCGCGTTTAGGTAGCAGCAACGCTTTATTGCTGTCCACAGATAAACTCCGCGAAACAGCGAGGACAAGGCGAAAATATCCACTTGCTCGGTACCCACTTTTTCAACCGAATTTGCATCATTTCCGTTTCGCGCGAATCAACCACCCCTCTAAAGACGTAGACAAGGTCGTCTTTTTCAGTGAAGGAAATAGAAACATCCTTTTCAAACACAATATCTAGTGCACAGTTGGAATTTAGGGGCAAGCAAGTGAGCCGTTTGCCCCTCGAGAAGCAACAGGAGGTCATGTCATGGACTTATCAATCGCCTACTGTAGAAGGTCATTTAGAAAGATGACTTTACGTTCTTTAATTCCTACCCAGGTAAAATATGTCGTTACATGCTGTTTCTTTTTAGCAGCACTCGTTAGCTGTACCCGCGAGACGGTACATCTCCCCTTTCCTCCAACCTTTGTTACAGCGAGTGGTGTGACATTCTTTAAATTCTTCTTTCAGACAATCCCAGACAAAAATATTGGGACACGAAGCAAGTTCTTCGCTTCCCCCACTTACAATGTTGATAATCAGGTCATTTTTTCCCCTTTTTGTTGAAATAAACGCGACATTGATTAGGGGGGATGGGGCATATGCGATGCAGCTCAACTGTCCCAGCTACTTTTGTCCTGGATTGTAGATTTTGCCTTAGTACAATTTAGGTTCCGAGTTGTAATCCTGGTGAAGAATTTGTTCTTTTTATTTTTTGGTCCTTCAAGTATTGAGTTTCAAACTAATGAGAAATTAGGGGCTGGTGGTTTCAGTGTAGATCTCAAATTCAACAAAAGTGTCTTGTCGGCAAATCTCCAATAATGATATTGGCCACTTTTAATTTTCAGGGTGGTCATGGATTTTTTGGCTAAGCAGAAAGAATCCTAAGGAGGGCATTCTGGGAGAGTGAGACACTCCTGTAGAGTAGGTCATTATACTGACATACTTACATCTTGTTTTGGTGAATGGATATCTGTAGTTCTTGAAAGAGCAAAGCACCGTGATGGAGATACAGGGTTCACAGGTGAAACACCAAGCTGGCAACCATAACAGCAGTGAAATTGTTAGCAAGTGACACATCCAAATGGCTGATTGCATGAAACATGCTTAAGATTATTTTCTATCATTTTATCTCAAATTTTGTAATTCTCAGACCTAACTTATCTATGACAAATTACGTGAATGAAATCAAAGAGGAATCGATGGGTAATCAGTCATGGGTTCTACTGATTAGACGCTAATTTCATTGATTGCTTCTCAATAAATCTTGTGACTTGCAGATCATAAATTTAAGATTAATAAATACAACTTGTCCACAGTACATGTCACAATGCAAAATGTTATTTAACTTATCATGATCATCTGAAGTGCGACAACTGCCTACTTCTTCATTAGCATGCTGGCACTTGTTTTGTGCTGTAATGAATGGCCTATTTACTTTGAAAAAGACAACAGAAAGGTCTTTGATTTCTATGAATTCAGTTACTTTCCCTGATTAACCTTCAGTGCAAATTAGATCTTGGCGAGTGCAAATTTGACCTTTGATCTTCCCGACGCCACACCAAAAATTGTGTGTACCGAAACCAAGAACTGACTACCTGAAGCGCAGCTTCAGTTACAGCAGAGCTTCTCTATGGAATGATCTTCCCGAGGAACTTCGTTATACAATATCTTTAGACCTCTTCAAGAGAAGCATCAATAAATGGTTCTCTGCATCAGACACCCACATGCCAAATATGTAAACCAGTAAACAGGAAATCTTAAAATACATGTAATGTATTTCTCTCTTTTTTTCTATTAGTATACTGATATTTCATCTTTATTCATTATTATCATTGCAAACTATTCTCGACAAAGACCTATAACAGGGAAGTCAGAAGAAACAGAGAAATATGCTGGAAATTTGCTATGATTGTGCAGCATAATAACCTGGACTAACATAGGAATAATCATTGAAAAATCGATGGGCAATCAATAGGAAGTTAAGGAGTAATCAATACCAGAATGAATAGTGAATGAAATTGATGAGTAATCGATGTCATCAACAAGTAATCAATGACCAGCAATTATAGTCTTTGATCATCCGTTAGTGATGTACGTAATTCTAAAGGGAGGCTTGAGGATCCGTATATACTGCAAATCTGGGAAATCTGGCACGATCATACATAGTAGGAATTTAAAAACAGAGCTTTCTTTCTACAGTTACATGTAGGCCCACCGCCCACACTAGTCCATCACAAAAATGAAGCTTTTCGAAAATGCTTTTCAAACTGGAGGAATTTGAAAATGCAGGATTTTCGTTTTCGTGTGGACGGAAAACATTTCAAAAAAGAGCTTTTTGAAAACAATAGCATCACAATAATCATGTGATCCCTTACTGACTTTTTCCCAAACATAAATCCAAAATGACCGGTGATTGCTGCATTTTAAAATTCCACCGCCGTAGTGTGGACAGAAAACATTTGATGCATTTTCAGAGTGAAACCTCTGTTTCCAAATTCCTACGGCATAGTGTGGACAGTGTCTTAGCACAAAGCAGGGGCGGGGCAGAAAACTCCTGAAATTTTCGTATAGGCATCATCCAACAAAAAATGACGTCACATCCGGTTTAAACTGCGCTTGGCGGCTCGTTTCACAAAGCGAGAAAATGGCGTTTCCATTACTCACGATTTCCCTCTATTTGTAAACCATC